CACAAGAAGACATCTGGAAAGAACACTAATATATGCTCATAAACAATGAATGGGTCCACCAGGAAATAAATATAAAAAGGTACATGGAAACAAAGGAAAATGAAAATAGAGGCTCTAAACTTTTGGGATACAGCAAAAGTGATCCTAAGAAGGAAGTATATAGCAATACAGGTCTTCCTCAAGAAGCAAGAAAAATCTCAACCTAATCTTACACCTAAGGAAACTAGAAAAAGAATAACAAGCAAAGTCTAAAGCCAGCAAAAAAAGAAAATAAAAAAGATTAGAGCAGAAATAAATGATATAAAAACTAAAAATGCAATAGAACAAATTAATGAAAACAAATTAATAGAACAAATTAATGAATAGAAAAAATTAATTAATGAAATTAAATGTTTTCTTGCGGGGGGGAATCAGTAAAATAGATAAACCCTTGGCCAGACTCATCAAGGAAAAAAAAGGGAAAGAACCAAAAATAGTATCAAATGAGAGAGGAGAAATAATAACCAACACCCAAAATACAAACAATTTTAAGAGAATATCAAGAAAAACTATGCCAAACTGTACAACCTAGAAGAAATGCGTAAGTTCCTAGAAACTAGTACCCAAACTGAAACAGATAAGATATAGAAAATTTGAACAGACTAATTACCAGCAATGAAATTGAATCAGTAATCAAAAAACTCCCAACAAAGTTCAGAACCAGATGGCTTCACAGGCAGAGACTACCAAATGCTTGAAGAAAAATTATTATCCATTCCTCTCAAAGTATTCAAAAAAAAAAGAGAAAGGAAAACTTCCAGATTCATTCTGTGAGGCCACTATCATCCTGACACCAAAACCAGATAAAATTACTACACACACACACACACACACACACACACACACACACAGAACCAAAGGCCAGTATCTCTTATGAACACAGATGCAAAAGTTCTCAACAAACTACTAGCAAATCAAATTCAATAATACATTAAAAATACATTAAAATAATCATTTGCCACGATCAAGTGGGATTTATTCCTGGGATGTAAAGGTGGTTCAATATTCACAAATCATTCAATTGATATATCACGTTCACAAGAGAAAGGATAAAAACCCTATGATCTTTTCAATAGATGCAGAAAAAGCACCCGACAGCGTACAACATCCACTCGTGATAAAAACCCTCCACCTCTGTGGAGGAAAAATACCTCAACATAAAAGGCCAAATATGAAAAGCCCACAGCAAACATCATACTCAAAAAACTACGCTTTTTCCCTAAGATCAGGAGCAAGGTAAGATCCAGCCCCACCACTTTTACTCAACACAGTACTCAAGTGCTAGCCACAGCAATCAGACAACAAAGGAAAATAAGCGTCCAAAATGGTAAGGAGGAAGTAAAATTTTCACTATTTGCGATAACATGATACTATATATAAAAAAACCTTAAAAACCACCAAAACCTGCTAGAGTGGATACATGAATTCAAAAGTTGCAGAATATAAAACCAATGTACAGAAATCTCTTGTATTTTTATACACCATTAATTAAGCAGCAGCAAGAGAAATTAAGAAAACAATCCTGGGGCACCTGGGTGGCTCAGTGGGTTAAACCTCTGCCTTCAGCTCAGGTCATGATCGATCAGGTCCTGGGATCGAGCCCCGCACTGGGCTCTCTGAGGAGCAGAGAGCAGGCTTCCTCCTCTCTCTCTCTGCCTGCCTGCCTCTCTGCCTACTTGTAATCTATGTCAAATAAATAAATAAAATCTTAAAAAAAAAAAAAAAGAAAAGAATCCTATTCACAACTGCACCAAAAACCATTAAGATACCTAGGAATAAACCTAACCAAAGAAGTAAAATACCTGTACTCTGAAAACTACAGAACCTTTATGAAAGAAACTGAAGAAGACACGAAGAAATGGAAAGGCATTCCACGCTCATGGGTTGGGAAGAACAAATACTGTTAAAATCTCTATATTACCCAAAGCAATCTCAGATTTAATGCAATCCCTATCAAAATACCAACTGCATTTTCCCCAGGACTGGAACAAACAATCTTAAAATTTGTATGGAATCACAAAGACCATGAATAGCCAAAACAATCTGGAAAAAGAAAAACAAAGCTGGGGGCATCACAATTCCAGACTTCAAGCTCTATTACAAAGCTGTAGTCATCAAGACAATATGGCACTGGCACAAAAAACAGACACACTGATCGATGGAAAGGAATAGAGAACCCAGAACTGGACCCACAACTATCTGGTCAACTAATCTTCGACAAAGCAGGAAAGAATATTCAATGGAAAAAAGTCTCTTCAATAAATGGTTTGGGACAACTGATAGCCTCATCCAAAAAAATGAAATGGACCACTTTCTTACACCATACGCAGAAATAAATAAAAAATGGATTAAAGACCTAAATATGAGACCTGAAACCACAAAAATCCTAGAAGAGAACACAGGCAGTAATTTCTCTGACACTGGCTGTAGTAACATCTTTCTAGACATGTCTCCCGAGGTGAGGAAACAAAAGCAAAAATAAACTATTGGGACTACATAAAAATAAAGCTTCTGCACAGCAAAGGAAATACTCAGCAAAACTAAAAGGTAACCTACAGAATGGAAGAAGATATTGCAAATGATATATCCGATGAAGAGATAGTATCCAAAACATATTAAGAACTGATATAACACCCCAAACCCAAATAATCCAATTAAAAATGGGTGGAAGACATGAATAGACATTTCTCCAAAGAACATATCCAGATGGCCAACAAAAGACACATGAAAAGATGCTCATTATCACTTATTATCAGGAAAATGCGAATCAAAACTATGATGAGATATCACCTCACACCTCAAAGAATGGCTAAAATCAACAAAAAAAAACCCAACAGGTGTTGCCAATGATATGGACCAAAAGGAACCCTCGTGCACTGTTGGTAGGAATGCAAACTAGTGCAGCCACTGTGGAAAACAGTGTGGTGGTCCCTCAAAAAAGGTAAAAATAGGGTCGCCTGGGTGGCTCAGTGGGTTAAAGCCTCTGCCTTCGGCTCAGGTCATGCACTCAGGGTCCTGGGATTGAGCCCCACATCTGCTCTGTGCTCAGCAGGGAGCCTGCTTCCCCCCACTCTCTGCCCGCTTCTCTGCCTACTTGTGATCTCTGTCAAATGAATAAATAAAATCTTAAAAAAAAAAAAGGTAAGAATAGAGCTACCCTATGATCCAGCAATTGCACTGTTGGGTATTTACCCAGAGAATACAAAATACAGATTCAAAGAGATAGATGTACTCCCATTAATTATAGCAGCATTACTTACATAGCCAAGATATGGAAGTGGCCCAAATATCCATTGGTTGATGAATGGATAAAGAAGATGTAGTATATGTGTATCATGGAATATTATTCAGACATAAAAAAAAGAATGAAATCTTGCCATTTGCAAAGATATGGATGGAGCTAGAAGTACAATGCTACGTGAAGTCAGAAGGACAAATACCAGATGATTTCACTCATAAATGGAATTTAAGAAAGAAAGCAAAGGAGCAAAGGGGGAAAAAAGGAGACAAACCAAGAAGCAGACTCTTAACTATAGAGAGCAAACTAATAGTTACCAGAGGGGAGGTAGGTGGGGGGATGGGGGAAAAAGATCATGGAGATTAAGAAGAACACTTGTTATGAGGACCATTGGTGATTAAAATAAAACTTAGGGCACCTGGGTGGCTGAGTTAAGCGTCTGCCTTCAGCTCAGGTCATGATCCTGTAGTCCCAAGACTGAGCCCTGTGTCGGGCTCCCTGCTCAGGGAGGGAATCTGCTTCTCTCTCTGCCCCTCATCCTGCTCATGCTCTCTCTCTCAAATGGATAAAAATAAAAAAATATAATAAAAACGCTGCTGGTATTTTGATAGGGACTACATTCAATCTGAAGACTGCTTTGGGTGGTATAGACATTTTAATGATACTTATCCTCCCAATCCATAACACATAGTATCTTTCCATTTCTTTGAGTCATCTTGAATTTTTCATCAGTGTTTTATAGTTTCAGAGTACACATCTTTCACATCCTTGGTTAAGTTTATTTCTAAGTATTTTATTATTTTTGGTACAGTTATAAATGGGAGTTTTCTTAATTTTTCTTCCTGCTGCTTCATTGTTAGTGTATAGAAATGCAACTGATTTCAGGGGTGCCTGGATGGCTCAGTTGCTTAAGCATCTGCCTTTGGTTGAGGCCACATTCTCAGGGTCCTGGAATCAAGCCCCGTGTTGGGCATTCTGGTGAGCAGGGAGTATGCTTCTTCCTCTGCCTCTCCTCCCACTCATGCTTGCAGTCTCTGTCTCTCTCAAATAAATAAAATCTTAAATCTTAAAAAAAAAAAAAAAAAAGGAAGAAAGGAGGTCTGATGTTTACTGCAGTGCCCACACCATCAAGAACCATGTCTCAACTATTTCTGAACCCTAGACTTTAGCTCACTAAAATTACATAGGTTCAAATTTATTCTCAATCACTACATAAAGTCAAATTATATTTAGTCTACTCTCAGTAGGCAGGGGAAGATACAATTTATTTTAAGAAGCTTTCAGTTAAAATAAAAATTTAAGTTAAAATGATAAACTGCAGGAGATATTCCTGATCTATTTGGAGAACCAGAATGTTCTTGGTAGCTGAACTTATACTATGATGACATGTAACTGCATACAACTGAACATGTCTATTATAAATCATGATTCTTTCTCTTTTCATTTCAGAAACTAGAGCCCAAATTCAAGCAGTGAGAAAGAACAGAGACTGCACTCGTAACTTTTCCTACATGAAACATAGCAGAGTTATGCCTTTCACGTATAGAATCCACGAAAGAGGAGTTACATACGCTACAATGACACAGTATAATATAAAGTATCCTATGTTTCACACAGCCATTTCATTACAGAATTGCTTTTAACCTAGATATTGCTCAAGACGGCTAAGAAGTAACCTTTTAGAGACTCCAGTGAGAAACGTAGGTGACATAAAGCCCTTTACCTCCATTCTCATGATAATCCTATTGTTTCTGGTTGTGATGCTCATCACATGCTGAAACCTCAAATCTCTGGCTTGAAGACCTAATTCTTGATATAAGTCAGTTTTCTTCTTTTCTATAAAAGAAATATTTTTAACAAAACAAGTGGGCCAAACCAATTAATGGAAGACTTTAGGATCAGAGCACCCCTCCCATCATCATTTTCTACTACCAGAAACAAGCCAAAAGGAGTCTTTTTAATAGCCATTTCTACCTCAAAAACATAAAAATTTGGTCAAACCCTAATAATTCTTTTTTCATCTTATTCATACTTCATAAAATTTCTTTGCATTTAGATGTCTCTTGGGACCAGTATCAAAAACCACAGCCACACACAATTAAGACTTACAGTATCAATTTCTAGCTCTAGAGACAGGTCATTTTTTAAAAATACAGATTATTTTACGTTCCAATGTTTTCTATCTTCAGTATTTTAAATCTGTGAACAGAGAATTCAATTTTCTTGGTTCTTGGACTAATACAAAACGAGAAGACAGTTGGTTTTCTCACTACATTCTCCCACCTGAAAATTAACCTTATTACCCAAGAGAAAGCATAATGGATGAAGAAACTCAAGAAGTGATTAAAGTAGCATGTATAGTTGTAGTGTCCAATCACACCTGCGACAGAGCACTAAGTAGAACAGTCATTTGAAGGAGATAATGGGCCAAAAATACCCCAAATTTCCCACCAGGATCTCAGCAGCAGCAGGAACAGGATCATGGGGCTGGAAGCACATGGGAAATCTGAATGAAGCCTGCATCTGAGGTCAGAGAGTAAAGTGATGCTTAGTCTCCTTTTACAAAGTCACTGTCCGTAGGTGCCATCATCAGCAGAGTGCCATGTAGTGCCCTGTCCCTCCAGGCTTGTCCCTCATTGCCATCGCAACATCAGCAGTATTACATAAATCTGCCTCAAATGTGGAACAGGAGCTGTACATGAGGACTAGGGTGTGGAAAGGGAGACTAAAAAAGTTCCTGTAACTTTCTGTTAGAGACAAAGTGGCTTCTGTTAAATACCAGAAACCAATTCTGGGAGAACACGCACAGTCCAGGTGTTGCCAGTTCCAATTAGGACTAGTGGACAAACGCAGAGGATAGATCTCTTTCAATACACCCCTACACACAGAGAATATTCTATTCAAAACACTGCAATTTCTTGATTTCCATGAGATTCACTCATTCACGGATTTTTAAAAAGTGAATTATAAGATAACGAAAGATACTCACCAAAAGAAGTAACATTTCCTTCTTTGTCAAATTTTGTCTGAAGAGAGAAAATTAAAAGCAAAATATTATTTTCTCCCAAATGAGTATGCTCTTTATAGTATTACACCATATGGTATTATGAGACCTCCCAAACGTGGAAGTGCACAGGTAAGCCTTAACTGCTTCTTTAGGTTAAATTCGGTTATGAGTTAGGGTTAAAAGAACCCCTTTTTCTTCTGCTAGGACAAATGTGACCTTTGATTAACTTTCTGTCTTGGTTCCCCCGGAAATCTGATAAAGGAGTATTAGCTGTGTTACTAGGCAACACTGCTCATGGTAAAAATGCCCAATGCCTGGTAGATTTCATGGAACAAGGAAGACTATGAAAGAATTACGGATAGGAAGCCATCCCCCTGCTTCTCTCTCAATGGGGTGGCTTTTATAACTGGCCATGTTTCTTACAGGAACCCTGCACGGGCCTTGGAGATGATTACAAGAGATATCAGCACTAAAAGGCATAGGGATTCCAAGCTAAGGTGGAACTCACACCCACCTTTAAGGACATCAACTCCTTGCACCTGAACTGTCAAACAAGGTCCAGAGAAGCCACTGGATGGCTGCAAGGACTTCTCTGGAAGGGGAAACACCTGATGCTGTCCTTTGCATTTCCTATCCGTTAGCCTTCTGAACAGAGTGAGACCAGATGTGGCTTATCCTGTGACTCTAAGTACTGGAGGCTATGAAGTCTCTCTGGTAAGTGTTGCAGAATCAACAAAGATTTACAGAAAAGGCCTCTTCTGGCTTTTTGAAGAGAGGACATGATGCAGAAAATATATTTATTTCCTATAAAGCAGAGGAAACATTTTTCTGAAATACTTGTCCACAAGTATTGAATACTTGTCAAGTTTCAATATGTGCTGGAATGTACTACTAAATTACTACTGAATTATTAATTACTACTAAATATGCATGTTCAGAAAGACTCTAAGGTATAGCTGAAGTTACATGTGCTGGGTCACTACCAAGGGAATGTATGCATGCTCTGTTAACAGCAACAGAATAAAACCCCACAGTACATATTGTAGCTTGTTTTTCATGAGCAAAGATCAGTATGAGTACCATAAGCCATCAGTGTTAAAGGCAAATTATATCAAAAGAAACTTTATTTTGTGTAACAGACTATTTCCTCAAATTTATTTCACAAATAATGTATCTGCTGTAGAAAATTTGAAATAAAAATACATCACGTGAAATAAGATAAATTTTAGAGAAAACGATACCAGTATTTTACTGAATGTCCTCCCAGACATTTCCTACTCATATATATTCATGTTATACTTTTCTGCACTCTCTCCTCCATTTTCAACTTAACATGAGTATTTTTGCTTCTCAGTATTTATCTTCGCCATTTTTCTTTAATGAGATATTTTCTGATAAAAAAATCATACAAACTGATTTTTTTTAATGTCTATCTTTAAAGTAACATGTAGAATGAGCTGATTAGCAAGCTCTCATTTCAAACAGTATCAACTAATTTTTTTTCTTTTTTTTTAATTAACGTATTACTTGTTTCTGGGGTACAGGTCTGATTCATCAGTCTTACACAATTCACAGCAAATAGTATCAACTAATTTTCTTAGGTGTTCTTGGTATACAATGACTTCACCTGCAAAGAATCTTCTTTCAATATTTAATATTTGAATCTATTCTTAACCAAACTGGCCAAATGTTCTAGAACATTGAATTACAGTGATAACTTTCACGTGTAATTCTGGAGGTTATGTTTTTTGTATAGTGTTTAAAGAAAATAAACTTATGTAAGTAAGCCTATGTAATGATGATGATGATAGCTAATATATATATTGAATGCTTACATGGGGGAGGATTTTACATGCAGTGTGAGTTAAGTCACAGCTCACAACAATTTGATAAGGTAGGCACTATCACCCCAGTTTACAGATGAGAAAACAAAGGCATAAAAATGTTACCATACCCTGTTCAGGTGCACCACGTTAATCGTAAGAGGCACAGCTGAGATCTGAATTTAGGGATGTTAGTTCAGAACAAGCACATTACTTTTTTTTAATTCAACTTTTTTTTTTTTTTTTTGAAAAAAGTAAAGCCTGACAAAAAAGTTGCAAGAATCTCTTACAGCCAATTCCCCTGTGACTTTCATCTAGAATGCTAATATTTTGCTAACATTTTTGTTAATATTACTAATATTTTGCCCCAATGGCCTAATTTTTTTCTTTCGAGAATATGTGGTTGTGGTACACATTATTTCTTATGTCTTATTTTATTTTCTCCTGATGCTTTTCAGAGACAGTTGCAGAGATCATGAACCTTCAAAGCATCCACTCTTAAAAATTACACTTCACTGCCTTCAAAATACTTCTGCATATATTACATTGCATAGCACAGGGTCAAGCACCTATGGCTAATAGCCTTCAAGGACTTTACATAAATTCACAAGGAAATCTTGAGTGGGAAGTGCTGAGCTGTGATTTGAACAACCAGTTCTAGGATTAAAGAAAACCTCCACAGTCAGTCAATAGCAAAGTTTCAAGGATGCTGTTAAGTGAATCTAGCGGACATCCAGGTCATCAGCTAGGCAAAACACAAAGAAGAAAGGACTTACAAGTATAATGGCTCACTATAAAACAAAAAATAAGTATTATCTTGGTGGACCAGTCCAACCCAGTTACCTCAGTAAATATGGGAAATACTTTGTGTAAGTTATCAAATGTACCATACATACTCACCACAGTAAACACTGGGGCTACACTGGCCAAAGTGGCTTGAGAGACATCGGAAGTTCTAAACCGGTGCATTTCACCTGAAGAATAAATTAGAGAATTCTCTGTAATCATACAATAGATATTAACATATGGCTACAATATAACTGTTCTATTATATGGTCTTCAGACTACTTTACTATTTTTTGGAAACTTTTTCCTAGAGGAAAAAGAAACACTCTTACTTGCTAATGTTAACATCTGTCGGGGATTATGTTAGATTTGGCAGGGAATGGCTTAGACAAGGTACTAGAACAATTTATGGATTCCAAACACTTTTATTCTAAGTATTACTGGTATCTCAAAGTCAAATGAACAAATGCGTAACAGTGTTCTAAGATTAAAATGTTCATCTTTTTTGCATAATTTTAAAAGGCTCTTCATGAAAATTATACTGGTACATGTATTTTAGAAAACATAGATCTTAAATTACCACCAGTTTTAGCATTCCAATATTAGGATTATTTGACCTATAAATTATGAAACGTAGATTTTACTTCCATATTAGCTTTTCCACATTACATAGTGACTACTTATGAAATAAGCCAATTGAACTGGAGTGCAGACCCCCGTGAACTGGAATGAAGAAAAATCCTTATTTGAAAATCAAAATTTAAAGTGTGATTAGACTGAGTTGAAGTGAGTTCTGAAGTGTAATCACATAAATTTAATGACTGACAAAGGACAACATTCAAAATACTCAACATAAAAGCAATGGACAGAAAGTGTAAACATATTACCAATTATTTTCTGCTTCCAAAGTAATCATGCGGACTCCATGGAATGTGCAGATATATTCTCATTTCCGATCCTATTCCTTCCCATTACATATAGTGTCTCATCTGAGGTTTGTTGTTTCTCAAGTTAGATAAAGCGTTTCCCCAAGTTAGATAAAATGTTTCCATTGAGATTCATTTGCTAATCAGCCACAAGTTAGATACAATGTTTCAGGATTCTGAATCTCAGTGCTTGTCTTAAAACAGCAGATGGGCTGAAACTGGGTTCCCAAGAGTTATTAAAGGAGGGAATATGGGGAGTACCCCAGTTCAGACTCTCTAGTGAGTGTGGGGAAGGTGGTGCCTTTACTTGAGAAGACTTTTGAGCATAAGCCTGAGAAAACTTGAGAACAGCACAATCCTTTTGAGAGCCGTACATTTTTATGTCGCCGGTTTCTGAGCAACATTAGCACCTACATTCTGACATTTGCGAAAATGTTAACATATCATCATGCTTCATCATTTGGCGAAAAAATAAATAATAAATACATAACTCCGATTTCTCCTCCTCCCCACTACTCTGACCCCTGCAGCTTGTTACGCCGTACTTGAAAACAGATTTTTCTCAGGAAAAACTGTTACTATGAAATCTTTAAAGTTTTCAGCCTCATCTACAGGTGCTTCCCCATTCCTTAAAATGAACTGGAAAAACGCATCAACGCGCAAACGGGAAAAGACTGGGAAGAAAAACACTTAGATAAGGGTTAACTTGTCGTAAAAAAAAAAAAAAGAACAAAACTCTTCCCATAAGAGCACTCCAGCGGGGAGATCTGCAGCGAGGGCGTGAGGGCTCCAAGGGGGTCACGACGCACCGGCGGGTCCGCACTGGCGGCCACCAGCACTCCCGGACGGGCGCCCCAAGGGCAGACCCGGGTCCGAGGCCTGCGTGGAGCGCAGGGTAGCCACGGCCACGCCGGGTGGGGTCGGGCGGTCAGGTCAGGGCCCTGGGGACACCGCAAGACCTGCGTACTAGGCTGCGGGGCGGGGAGCGCAGTACCTGCCACGCGGGGCCGAAGGGGTGCGCACAGGGGCGCGGCCCGGCTCTGCCTGAGGAGTTGGGTCGCGCGGCCGCAGACGACAACGGGGCGCGCCCCAGGGGTCAGACTCTGGGCCAGAGTACACAGCGTGCGCTGGGGCAGCCCCACGACGCTGGGCAGCAGCCGGCTCAGGCTCCGCAGGCATTCCATGGCGCTGGAGCGAGCAGAAAGTTGCCCTAACACCCCAGGCCCTCATGCCGGTCAGGGGCTGGTTAGCCGGCACCAACGCGACCCGGCGCGGGCGCTTAAAAAAAAGTGCGACCGTAGCGTACTGAGCATGCGCTGGCCGCGTCGCGCCTGCGCCTCCCCTACCGCGCATGCTCGGAAGGTGCTTTGGGGGAGCGCTCCTTGCGTCCCGTGGCCAATCAGAGTTCGCGTCTCGTACCTGGAAAGTGCGGGGGGACGGGCTTGGGCTGGCGGGCGGGGCGCGCTCACCTGTGCGGCGGAGGCTGTCAGACCTAGATCCGACCCTCGCGCCCTTGGAGAGGTCAGCGGCCCGCGGGAAGGGTTATCTCTAGTAACCAGGAGTGTGAAGAAATACCCGGGCTGTGGATCATGCTTTGCAGTTTCTGGAGGATTTTCATACAGATGATAAAATGCGCACTTTGGAAGTGAGGACGTTATGCCCATTCCTAACTCAGTTTGTATTTAAATTTATTGTAGTAGAAACAATGAACTGCACTATGAATGAGGGTCTAAACTTGTGCGGCTCAGTATTGAGGAACATAAACCCACAAGATTTACACTCTGTATTTAATAAACTGTAAGATAGTGTTAATTTCAAGGAGAAGTTTAATACTTTATGTACCACCAAGAAAGAAAAAATGCTGATAAATTATGCTTTCTAATTACATCATTTCAAGACTCATCCCAATTTTGGTCTTTAAATATGAAAAAAAAAAGTAGGTTTTAGAAGTGATTAAATACAGTATACATTTTTTAAAAAGATTTTATTTGACAGAGAGAGATCACAGGTAGGCAGAGAGGCAGACAGAGAGAGAGGGGGAAGCAGGCTCCCTGCTGAGCAGAGAGCCCCATGAGGGGCTCTATTCCAGGACCCTGAGATCATGACCTGAGCAGAAGGCAGAGGCTTAACCCACTGAGCCACCCAGGTGCCCCTATATGCATATTTTTAAGTGAGTTAATAGACTTGTCCCTTCCACAGTAGTGATACAAGACAGACATGAATTTCACATATTTCCATCCAATCACTAAGTATAAACACAGCTAAGGAAACAAAACAGAGAACTTTCTCCTTTTTTTCTTTTCTTTTTTTCCCTGTAGGGTATTGAGAATGAAGCTGAATTAGGAAGCCAGTAGACAGAAGACTTCACAGAAGAGAGGATATTTGATTTTAGCATTGAGAGAAAAGGAGAACATAAAGCATTAAAATCCAGAAAGAACCTACCTGGTAGATTTTTCATTTTACTAACAGCTTCAGTGATGAAACATATCTTCCAAAAACATGCCTTCAGAGACCACTCTATGAGATAATGTGATAATTCTTTAAAAAAATAAATAAATAACCCTAGCTCAGTGAGACAACTCTGTTTAAGATATCCTTGCAAAGTCTTAGAAAAGCTCTGGAACCGGGCCAGACTCATCACCTTGCAATTCATATCAAGGATTTGGAATTTAATCTGGGAAGGGTGGGAGCCATGGGGTGACTTCAATGATCAGATCATTACTTCTCTCTGTTTAAGTGGATCATTCTGGCTATGTGGGGAAGAGATTACAAAGAGTTAAGTGCAGAGATAGTGATGATGGTGTGTGCCAAGGTAGGTGATGGGGAACGGGAGACAGGGCGAGCTTGCTGCTACATAGTGAAGACTGAATTGACAAGATTTGCAAGAGGGATTAGGTAAAGAGGCGAAGAAGTTGATTGCAAAATATTTTGCCTAAATAACTGGGCAGTCATGGTGCCATCTACTAGAATGGAAGAAGTTTAGTTGGAGATCAGTTTATGGGATGGCATTTGCTTCTGGACATGTTAAATTTGAAAGCTTTGTTAAACAGATGTCTAAGCAGAGATATCAAGTAAACAGTCTGGAGTTTGGGGGAGATGTTGGTGGTAGACATATATATTGGGGGCCATATAGAGGTATTTAAAGTCGTAAGGGTAAGATCTCTTAGGAAGTGAGACAGCAAACAGAGAAGTTATTATGATTGAGCTCTAGATCCTCTAGCATTTAATGGTTAGGGACAAGAGAAGGATCCAACAGAAGAATATGAAAAGGGGTGGCCAGGAAAGGAGTAAAATCAAAGGGTGGAATCCTTGAAGCAGAAGAGTTTCAGGAATGAGGAAGAGATCAATTATGTCAAATGCTACTGACAAGGAAGTTGAGAAATGAGCATTGCCTCTGTTGGAAGTGACACTTTGGAGTTTCCTGGTGATCTTGGTAGGAGCAGTTTCCATAGAGGGGTAGGGAATGGGATCTGGATCGTCATCTTCCTATTCAACCCAAGCCATGACAGAATCCCAGGAGACTTCTGCACCTGTATAACAATTTCGCCTTCAGCTTCTTTAATCCCTTTCCTTAGCTCTGGAGCTCCAAAGCAAGTCAGTTGCCTCAAACCAGGCTCACACTCTGGACTGTGTTCTCATCCAGAACTGTTTTGTGTCAGAAATACCAATAATACACTCTCTGACCCTAACGTCCTGGAGGCTTTATACCCACTACAATTCTAGTCTCCCATCAGACCCTTGCCAGCTCTTCTCCCTTCTCTATCTAGCCCAGATTATGTAACTCATCATCTGAAACCACTATGACTAGTACTTGGAACACATGGCATTCATGGGGTGTAATCATAGAAGACACTTTATTTTTGCCCCTGCAAACCTGCTGAGTGGTGCTAGTCCTTCTCTGGCCTCTTAAAAACTTGGGTGGGTTCAATGACTCTCCTGGTCTCTCAGTCCTATGTTCTCTCCAGCATCAATTCAGTAATTGAAAATGTCCACTCCATATACTAGTTTCAATTCAATAATTTGCAATATCAGACCCTATACACTAATTACTGCTGCAATCTTCATTCAAGAAAAGACTTGATTCCTCTCTTCTTGTTGAGCCTGGAGGCAACGAAGAATTTTTGGTGTGGCTGGAGATCCCAGTCAGCTTCCTCAATCCCCTCCCACCCCCTTCCTTATTCTGTGGCTGCTATTTCTGACTTGCCTGGGGGCAGTGAGGCCAAGTAAGAATGAATGGAACATTTTTACCAAAAGATGGCATCGTGCTCTCTACAGCCAGGGCAGGTTTTAAAGCTGACCTCTTTGTGGGCTGGTCCAGAGTTCTCTGGAAGTCCTCCCCCTCCCCCAGGCCTATCTTGTTGCCATTCTTTTGATATGAACAGTGACCCTCCTGATCATTTACAGAGTCTACCTCTTCTTGCCTCAAAGGACCGGGTTTCTCTCTTCCCCACATGCTGCTCTTTGGGGCAGGATACTTTAAAAAAAACAACCCAGACTGATTTTCCCATGGTCCCGTCTATACCCCAGGATTCATGTACAATTAGAGGGAACACAGTTACCTCCCTGGCATAGAGCTTCTATCTATCCCCTGCTTAGGTATGAGTCTGTGTGACCTTTTTAAGCCCTTGGAGGGATCTTAAGAAGTTCCATTCACTAGACTTGAAGTGAGTGGAATCTTTCTCTGGAAGATTTTCTAGATTTTCCACATAGTGTCTGGCCTTGAGTCATCAGTCTTCTAATCCTTTTATGTCTTCCACTCAGATGCTAGGTCCAAGAGTTCTGTAATGGCTCCTGAGGATATTCACTTTGAAATTTACATCCGGTGATTCATCTGGTAAGGGACTATGGTGCTGCCCCCCCCCCCACCTTGACACCTCAGTGTAAACACTTACATTCCTCAGCACCCTTGAATCTTTGTACTTCTTGGATTCACTGATGAACTTATTTATTTCACAAGTACTTGTGGAGCCTATTTTAGGTTTTAGGGATAGAGTGAAGGAAACAAAGTACCAATCTGTAGTGAGTTGAAAACGGGCCCCTCAGAACCTCAGAATGTGACCCTATTTGAAAGCAGAGACTTTGCAGGTTTAACTAGCTAAGAGTCTCAAGACGAAATCATCCTGGATTTAGGGTGTGTCCTAAATTCCACGACTGCTGTCTTTACCAGAGAAAGGAGAGGGAGACTTGAACACTCAGAACCATGTGAAGGTGGGGGCAGAGACTGGCGTGATGTAGCCACAAACCAAGGACACCAGAAGCCAAAAGAAGCAAGGATGGATTCTCCCCTAGAGCCTTTAGGGGGACTGTAGTCTTGCTGAGATCATTAATTTTGGTCTTCTAGCACAGAGCTGTGAGAGGATAATGTTCTGTTGTTTTAAGCCTGGGTTGTGGCACTTTGTTTCAGCAGCCCTAGGAAATTCATATACTGCTTTCCCGTAGCTTAATCCTTAGTTGATTGGGGCCCATAAAATTCAAGTCTCCTGTTCTGACCTTAATACCACCTGATAATTATTTTACTACCTTCTCTTAGCAACCCCTCCCCACTTTCCCCTAATACTTCTAAATCTTTACTGATATGCTCAAACCTCTTCTTTTTTTTTTTTTTTTAAGATTTTATTTATTTATTTGACAGAGAGAGATACTGCAAGAGAGGGAACAAAAGCAGTGGGAGTGGGAGAGGGAGAAGCAGGCTTCCTGCTGAGCAGGGAGGGCTCCATGCGGGCTTGATCCCAGGACCCTGGGATCATGACCCGAGCTGAAGGCAGACGCTTAATGACTGAGCCACACAGGCATCCCATGCTCAAACCTCTTATTCCCGCCCAGCTCCATCACCAGATGGAGTACTCTGCCATCATTTAAGGTACAAAATTATTTTGCTGAGGGGAAATACAGTGATACAGATCAGAAGTAAATTAGACATTATAGTTTTATGTTTCCCTCTGGTTTAATTTGCTGTTAAGTTCAGACTTCTGTGACTCTTTACTATCTGTTTTTTTTTTCCTTTTAGAAGATCTATCCCTTTAAAGAAGACATCTTCTTCACACACCGTAGACATTAAAATATCCAAATCTAATGTTACTACACTCCAGCGCTGAGTAAAATTTTATTTTTCTTTGTTTTACAACTTAAACATGTGCCCTGATCTCTTTGTGCCCATGACCTGAAACCACAAGGCTTCGCCTTTAAACCACATTGTCTTCACACACACAGCACCTGCCGTGGTAAATCGGCTTCTCTGGGGTCTGGC